TGAGGCTTGTTGTCAAGCACTGAAGTTGTCACAACAGCAATATCTGGTATCTATATGATGTTCTGTGTTATATATAATCGTTTTACTATTTAAATTTGACTGAAAAGCTTGTAATAGAATGCTTAATGGCTGTTTCCATGCCACACTATATGCACATGTGGGCAGTAATATAGGAAATGTTTTTTGTTGCCAAGACTTTAGGGTATTTTCTATTCAGAAATTGACTTCCTACAGTAAACACATTTCTACAGACTTTTTTAGCATTTTGTTTTTATTGTATTTAATAGAAACTTTTTGATCAAGTTCTCTGGCACCATCTGTTTTCTGTGTTTTTAAGTATTAATGTTAAGTACTAATTACTAAATAGTATTAATTAATGTTTGCTATTTTCACTTCTAAACATGTAAAACTTTTTTAATAATTAGATATGAATTTCAGTAACTTGTCAAATTAGATGTAGCCTACAATCACATATGCCATGTGAACCTAACAAATAAATGTGTGCATGAAATGAGAATTCAGGGGAAATTATATAAGGGAAATTTATTTATTTTTTTTATCTATCAGGGTCAGAAATGAACCAGAGACAAAAATTCCTTTTTTGTTTTTATTTTTGAATATTGATGTATTTCACTGATATTCTATTCTAAGTCAAACGGGCTCAGCATGGTTTAAATGTCTCTGTAGATCCTGTGCTCATCTACAGTAGCTGTCAGGTGCTTGTATTTGTTGCCTCAGAAGTGTATGTTGTTGAATGTGTAGCAAACATGAAGTTTTTTTTTTTTAATTAAAATAATTTCATTAAAGCTCTGAAAACACTGAACGTATAAACAACACTACAGAAAAAACGTAGAATCTGTGAACTTAGTATATACACAGACACCAACCGGTTATGTTAAAATGTATTCAAGCAGAGCCCTTACTGTGCTGTTATATTTTTGCACATTAGCAGCTGCTGATATAATGATCCTCAAAATGAAAATTAATTCAGTCAATTGTTTCAATAGAAGTAATTGACATAAATGGACAGAACACTGTATTTTGTTTAATGGTTGGGGGGGATGCCCTCATAAAGTAAAAGAAAAATGCCTCAAAACAATTCCACGTGGCAAATATTGCCACTTAATAATAAAGAAAAAGATAGTGATGAGAATAATAAAGCATTCCTGGAAGTTCAAGTAATAATTAAAAAATAGCATGTGAACTTTAAGTTTCAACATAGCAGAAATCACAGGTGTAAC